CTCTTGCTTACTTCTGCATGATTTTTGTTAACTTTGGCTTATCTTTCAGGGTAAGGTAGGCTCATGGTATAGCAATCCTGGCGCTGGAACGTCTGAATCTGGTGGTACGGGGGTTGGTGGTGGTGTGGGGAAGTACTTGAAAGCTAGGAATGCTCAAGCTACATCTGCTAGTGTTGACACCGGTACAACCGTTCTAGTAAAGAAAAGAAAAGTGGGAGTTGTCAGCAGTGAATTTAAAGATTTTTCTGCATGGTAACAATCCCAATTTCGTACAATTTGTAAAAAGTGTATATTTTTCTTGTAGTTATGCATTGCCAGGTGGGTGATAAATTTTTTAGGCACGTCATTAAGGTTATGTACAATATAGCGTACTCATTGGATGCGAGATTAGAGTCATTTGGTCTCGATTTTGCTTTCTCTCTCCCCCTCATGTTCTGTTGCTGCTCAGAAAAGATTTATAATTTGGTTATGGATTTGATAGATAGATAGATGGACTTTCCTAATCCTAATCCTAATAGTGTTGGAAATTAAACATTTCAACTAAAGGGAGAGCTCCCCTATCCCTATGTACAATGTTCCTTGCTTTCTAGGGCGTTATGAGTCAATCCGATCAGGGAATTTCTTTTATTCCTGCTCACTAAACAGTTGTCTGGCGTGAATGCTAAGGGTGTCATTCCCAAGGCCAAGGGCACTTCCAAGTCAGTAAGCCTAGCTAGCTAGGTTTTCATTGACTTTAGTCATGGATACCTGCTCACATTTTGGCATGTATACAGGGGCTGTACAATTCAGAATACAGAATATCAAACTACATTTAAAATTAAAATGATGGATTAATTCATTATGCATACTACGGAGAACAAAAATGAAAACTGTGTTATGGGGTCGGAAGGAAAACCAGTTCATAGGTTCATACGCGATCCTCTCCATGCATCTCATGTCAAGATTGTGTCTCTGACATGATAAAAAAGGAAAGGTGTATTTTTCTTGATTGTAAAAAATGAATTAATGAGATATTTAATTAAACTGAGTGAAAGCATCATTGGTTTCTCACTTCGTACTTTTGCTTTAAAGCATTGCTAGGTTGGTTGTTTAGGGTTTCAAATATTTATTCGGATCAATTTATCAGGAATACAATTACGCATTCTATTAGTGAATATTTTTTAATGTTTAAATTTCTTAACATTCACAAAAAAAATTGCACAATTAAATATAAAGCATAAAAACATCTAGTTATATAAAAATATATATTAAATTTTATACTTGTATAATTAGTTGATAATTATGTTGTTAAATACACACACACACATATATATATATATATATATATATATATATATATAATTCAGGATACATTAATATCATATCTAAGTTTAAACACTTAAATCAAATTTTATATTTTTAATTATTTTTTATATAATGTAAATTTAGGTGATTTAATTGTTGAATCATGAGATATTATACTCAAGGTTATGTATATCAAATTTCATATAATTTTTTTAAATGTTTTTCAAAATGATTTTTTATACATTTTGAATATCATATCACATGTTAAAAAAAAATAATGTAATGAACTATTAAATAATTTTGAAATCATGTAAAATTTTATATAACGAATCTTAAGCATAATATCATACAATTCAATGGTTGAATCAATTAAATTGTATTGTATAAAAAATTATTAAAGATATAAGATTTAGTGTAAGTTTTTAAACTTATATCTAGTGTAAATAGATTTTGACTTTTTTTTTCTATATAAATTTAATGACTTAAATTAAGAGATTACAAATAAATTTATCATGTATGACATATCACTATTACTATATTGTCTCTACTGTTATTGTTATTATCACCATTGGAATTCATATTATTGTTTTACCAACGTTGTTGTCACTACCACTCTTAGTGTTGTTGCCACCTTTATTGGTGGTGACAATGAGAGTGATAGTAATGATGGTAATAACAATCATGATTGTGACAATGATAATATTGATGTGTTTTAATAGTAACAGTGACAACAATGATGTCTAAGACAATATGATAGTGATATGTAGAATTTTTTTTATTCTTTAATCTAAGCCATTAAATTTAATTAAAGATTGAAATTTTATCTTCTCACTCTCGTATAAAAAATCCTCTCTCTTATAGCACAATTTAAATAATAAAAGGAATTACTTGATTTAGTGTCCACTTTTTTTTTTCTTTTTCATTTTATCCTTAATAACTACAAATAACATCTAATAACCATACAAAATACTAAAAGATATATTTTTTCTCTATTTTTTTTTAATGGATAGTATCTAAATAAGAGTAAACATTTACACAATAATACCTAAAATCACATGAAACAATATTTATACCACAAAAGGAATAGATTCAGGTTAAATTTAACCGTGAGTGGGACCTAAAATAAACATGTGCTTTTAAAATTGTCTCTTAAAGCCGTGATACCAACTTTTTTGTATTCAATGATAATGCATAGCTGTGACTGTGAGATGGAAAATGTGTCTAAAGTTATGTCCATGGCGGATGAAATAAAGGAAAACAGATAATAAATATTTGAAAAAATGCCCTTGAAAAGTAATTGTCACATTTCATAACTTGTTTTGTTTTTTTTTTTTTTTTTTGTTGTTAAAATTGAGATTTCGGAACAGTGGTGCAGAGTGCGCCTCATGTGTTATGCTCATGCAACAGAGCAATATCAGTACCCCATAAAATCCATCACTGAAAGAGTAAAAAGAGTAAAGTAAAATAACATTTTCTTGAGCAACTATTATATAAACGTCCGTTATATCTCTTTAATAAATAGTAGTTCCTTGTTTTGTTTTTTCTTCCTCATAAAATTTAACTTTTACTAGTTACAAAATGAAAGAAGTAAATAGGTATTTATGAAAATGACGTATAATGCAATTTTTTTTTATAAATGTGCTACAGTCCAAACGAAAATTAACTAGTGTTCTAATTGAGGTAGTGACATACCAACTATAGCCTTTCTTCTTACATATGTAACAGCTTTTAAAATAAACAGAGTGGATATGGGACACACCTCAACGATGGAAAAAGAAAAGGATAAAAAGCCGCCAATTAAGCGGTACACGTCTATGCCTTGTTTCATTTGCTTTCTTATTTTATTTGTTGGCAGCACATAGGAGGATATATATTAAGCATCTAATATTTTTACCCAGTTTAATTTATCAATTATATTTACTAGAGGAACGTTAATAAAAACATTTTTTTCTTTCTAATATTTGTTTTATTATTTCTTAAACTTTATTAAATTGTAAGTGTTAAAAAATATATTGAAGAAGGTTGCTCTCATTTAATTTATTATATTTTTATATAGTTATGGTGATGAATGCATATTGAAAACAAAAGCTATGTGGATCTGTTTCACTCAACCCTCCCAACTCACCAACGACCAGTCCAACAAGTCAATTATGGGATATAAAGAAAGAAAAAAAAGAAGGAAAGCTTCTTGAAACTTCCTTTCCCATTTATATCCATGGATTTTCAGCATGGCTAATAATCTGTCTCATCCTGTCGGAGATTAATCGTTTCGAAGAAGAAAAAAAAAGTGTACAACTTGAAAGGCAACTATAACATGGGTAAGCTAGGAGCTCAAAATATAACATGATTTTTTTTTTTCCAAATGATTGAAGAAGAAAAACAAATTCAAGAAGCCCTGCACCTTTTCGAACAAGATCACCTCCGTTCAATAATCAATTGGTATATAAGTAAGAAAAACTAGTCACACGGCAAACGCGTTGTCTAACAATAATCATAATGACTAATTAAATTAAAGAAACTCAAACGTGGATATACCGAAACCCCGTACGAACAATATATACGATAATCGCAGACGTGGTTTATAAAATAATTAATTGAAACGTCAATTTGTCATGAGGGTGGCCTGGGCCACAAACGTGGAAGTAATTTATTCTAATCAAACTAGGATTAAGGCTGATTGAGACTAAAAGAAAGTTAAGCAGCTAGAGTTTTTGGTAGCCATCAGTATATAAATATTTGAGGACTAAGACAACAAATTAAAGGATAAAATAAATGGTTAATTGGTTTGGGCTCTAAAGTTGAAAGAAATGGCCTAGAGTAGAGTTTGTGTGGTGATTATTACTGATTAGTGCGTACTTATTATAAAGTTATAATCCATCAAACACGAGTGCATATATATAAGCAAGAAGGCATGCCCTAGAAGTTAGAGAAGGAGTGCATTTTGGCATTAAGAGAAAACAATATATTAAGATGACATGATGATGTGTGGGATTATCTAAAAAGAAAAAAGTTGGTGGAAGTTTTGGCAGTGTTTGGAGTTGGTTATGGTGATGATAGTGGGTTTGATGAAGGTGATCCACGCCGGCAGCTTTACCTTCTCTCTCTATCTCTACCCAATTCCAATTGGCACGCATGCTCCCACTCATCTACAAACAATGAAAAGGATCTCCTCTCCCTACCTTTTCCTCACACTTTGTTATTTTTCGTCTTTTGTCAGACCCAATTCCATTCTAAGCATCAGCTATAGGCCACAACCCCTATACTATACAATTCTCAGTCAATCCCCTCTCTCCATATTCTTTTTTATTTTTCAATAAAGAAGCCACACCCCAATAAAAGAATAACCTAGAAAAGAAACCCAACCCAACCCCACTGCCCTCCCCCCCCACCCCCC